CGTCACATTAGGTGTGCCTTGAAATGTTGCAAAGAGGAGACGATAAGTTATTACAGAGGAGTTCTTTGCAAGTGTAACTTGCAAACGGATCGAAGAATGAATCTGAGTAGGGCGGCGTCGGAGGATGGGAACTGTTTCGTGAAAGGTGGGACTGCATACATGATTTATGATGATTTGCAGGTGGTTCCTGTTTCGTCCTCTCAAATCCTCTCTTTGTTTTCCGAGATTGGAGTTAAGGATCAAAATTCCATAGACGAGTTAACTATCAATGTACGATGGTTAAGAAGGCTTTAAAGATTTTTCCTTTTTGTGCAAATAAAATTATGTTTCATCTTCTTATTGTTTGATGTCTTGTCTTTGGTTATATCAGGTACTGAATTTGCTCTTTTGCTCGTTAGTATCAAAGGCGCCTCTAACAGAAACATTTCTGAATAGTAAAACAACACCTGAATCAATCACTGCGACTTCCTTTCATAAAAATAGTTCTGTAAAGGAGGAAAAGATGACCAATGATCAGGAGGAGAAGATTGACGTGAAGCTAATAGTTAGCAGATCAAAGAAAAAGGTTTGTTATGCTGAAGCGAGTAAGGAATTTGTTAACTTGCTCTTCAGTTTCTTGACCGTTCCACTTGTCATATAATGAAATGTTGTAAAATTGGCTAGGATTTTAGAGTCTTGGAATAATCCGTTAAAACTAAATCTGTGATATATAGTACTGTTTTCTTTTTCTAGAGAGGTCGGAGTAAGAGAGAACATAGAGAGAGAAACTCTAGAGGAGAGAGAAGCTCTAGAGGTTATGCGTTCTTGATTTCTATTGATGAGAATAAAAGCTTTGTTTAGGGATTCATTCAATTTCGTTTTCTCTTTGATCTGTTGTGTGTGTGGAATTGTGCTGGGAATTTCTGAAAGGTTTTTACAACATGAAACAAGTTCACGATGGTTCTTTAAAAGGCTGTATAGATCACCTGTACAAGTCTGTCTTGGATCTTGATGAGCAGCACTTCTTTTCGAATATTCATAAGAAAATCTTAGTCAGTCCATGTCCTGCCCTTGGATCTCGGTACACGTCCGATTGGTTAGGACTCTTATCGTCCATACTGTACTTCATATATCGATAGGTTCAATCTTAGAGTGCTTGCTGGCACAGAACGTCCTTCTCCTTTTGCCACTTCTCTATCAGTTCTTCATCCTCTATCTCGTTATGATGGAGGCTTTTTAAGGGAGCCGACATTGTTCATAGTGACTGACGGTCTTACGATAACTCCTATTTCTTCAATTGTGTGCTTCTCCATTCTCGAAGAATCGAAGGTACCTTTCAACGGCATTCAGGAGAAAGCGGTACACGTTGGCAAGGAAGAGGTATGCTCTCCTTTTCCTTTCTTAATCGGCTAAAATATCATCATCAGCTCAAATTGAGTCTTCTCACTATTTTCCGCTTGCCATGGCTTGACATTTTATTTGCACAATCTCATGAAAGTGTTTTTGCGTTGCAGGCTTTGCGGCTTTTAGTGTCTTCATTCGTTTCGGAATCTGCTCTAACCAACACCTTCATTAGGAGCCAAAGCAGAAGCAATGAGTAGTTGAGTACACTACGGTTTTGCACCAAAAAGAGAAGCAAAGATCTGTTCGTTTAATTTCTCCAAACTGGATATAAAATGGGGAAACCCATTATCTCACTGCCCTTTTTGGTTGGATAAATTTCTTTTTTAAACATTTGCAGTACTGTGATCGTTAGCATTGAACTTCGTCACTCTCATCTTTATCAACTGGACATATGCGTGGCAATACAAAACAGCTTTCTTATTAAATTAACGCGATAACTATTAAGGTGAATAGGTGATCAAAGATTAGGGTAATAAAATGCTTTACAAAGTTACCATGCGCTTTCATTAGCTAAAAGCAAAATGTAAAAACAGTCCAGAAAATTAATAGCATCTATAACCAGCTCAAATGACGAAAAACACTAGTTAGTACTGGTGTTTGGTAAAGTTCATGTCTGTGGCCGTTGATTCGTCCCTTGAAGCATCTTGGTTCTTTCACTGTTTAGAATAAGCATTCAAGTGCCTTTTACTATGTTCTTCCTAGTTAAGTTTTTTCTCTTTTATCAGTGAAGGTGGGACGGGACCTTTGACAGGCAATGGTCTTTTCTACTTTTGACGTGCAATGGTATTCTTTCGCCTCGTTCACTTTGTTGATTTGAGTTTAGATATGATTTTATGTGAGAGTTTTTTACTATAGCAAAAAAATTAGATATGATTATTTGTGAGAGCTTTTTACAGTAGAAAAACTTGAATTCTAAACTCGGATCAGCGAAGTGAACGGGGCCTTTATTTTTGGACATTGCGGGCTGTTGAGTTCGTTAATTCGGATTTTTAATTTGAATTGAGATATAATATTATATGAGAACTTTTTACTGTAACAAAAAAGTTAGATGTGACTGTTTTTTAGAGCCTTTTACTGTAGTAAAACTCGAATTCTAAAGTCAAATCAGTGAAAAAACCGGGGCTGCAATGGTTTTCGTATTTACATTTTTTGAGCATCTTCTGTTAAATAAATATATCAATATTAAATTTTGATATTTAAGTAAAAAATTTACACTCTAATATAGTACTTTTCTGTGTTAAATTTAATAAATACTATATTTAGTGGTAAATTAGCACCAAGTATAGTAAGTAACAAATTTGACATTAGTTATTATTGGTATTTATATTAATTTTTTATTTGATAATTAAAAGTTATCCTTGTAAAATTATTTTAATATCAAAAGTTTATTTTTATAAGTTTTGTAGTTTAATAATTATGGTAAAAATTGAATATAGCATTTAAAAATAGAATTATGTATTTAAGCATACAATAGAATAGTACTCCATATGTGTCATTTTTATATATTTTTTAATGACAAATATATCACTGATATCAATATTTATATTGCATATGGTCTTATGTTTTCATTGGGTTTGGCGGGTTTCTGAGGTGGTACTATCTTCAGTTAACGGTTTCAATTACTTATATAGCTACATCTTATATCGATGCTGCTGAATTTTTTTTATTGTTATTATTATAATGAGAAATTGCTTGGGCGAAAATTGGTCTTCGTGACTCTCTGTTCACCAATTGAAGTCGGTAGCTTATTTGAATGTTGTTTGAGGAATATTTCAGGATTCGTTTGGTAGATGGATTTAAAATTATGATTTTAAATTTTAATTCAGAATCATGTTTTTAAATTCTAATTTAGAATTAGTGTTTATTTATAGTGATTCTAAATCAGTATTTGATTTGGATAATTTTGAATCATGATTCATAATCTGATGTGATGTTTTAAACTAGAATACTCATGATTCTAAAATCACTCCCCTTTTTATTTAAAATGATTCAAACTCCTGATTCTGAATCATAATTTTAGAATCATGATTTGAACCTAAAATCATGAATCATTATTCTGATTTCAGAATATTATTAGAATCACTATAATTTAAATTTTCGTACCAAACAAACTCTAAATACTTTGTGAAGTGCTCTGTTCAGAAGTTGGCAGGATTTTATGCTGCCCTTTGATTTGTCCCTTAAAGCACTTTAATTTGTTCGTTTTGCTCGTTAGTTAAGAATTTAAGTTAAAAACTAAAATTATGTGAACAAAAAAATTTAAATTTAAATTTAAAAAACATACTGTAATAAAAATTTGAGCAAGAGTCACTGATGGGTACTTTTTCTGTTTAGATCAGAAAAAACCACGCAAGTACTGATAACTAGATTTCTTCTTGGTTAAGTTCTCTCTTTATCTCTATCTCTCTCAGCTCTTAGAAGGTGGGATGTGTCCATGACGTGCAACTACCTCTGCCTAAGTTTCTAGAGAGAAATTTTCTTCACTTTACTTCATAACCAAACCCACATCTTCTTCAGCTTTATTCTACTTTTTGCTGATCATTCTATATTTCTATTTGCCATTTATTTGTGATAAAGCGAGTTTCTGAGGAAGTTCCCATGTTCAGGTAATGCTTATCAATTACTAGTAATACTTCTCATTTTTATATTGCCGTTATTTTCTTTTTATTTATTTATATATTTATTTTTCTGCTTGCTTGAAAATGTTGGGTTATCATGACGCTATATTTGTTCACTAATTCAAGTAGGGAGATTATTTGATTAAGATGATTTATCTCTTGGTCATCGCCATCTTTTAAGTTTCTCTTCTTTATTCTATGGACAAAAAAGTTGCCTTTTTTTTTTTGGTAGTGTCAAAGACTCGTAGTCCATTAAGAAGTACTAATTTCTCCACATAATTATAATCTATTGTGTTTTATTGTCTAATATGTATCCAATAGTCGAGTAGTTTAGCTTTGAAATTGGTTAAATTTTGAAATTCTCTCCAATAATCACTGATTGATTGATTTTATCCTCTTTTTGATGCAACTTCTTGTCTCAAAATATTGATACTTACTTGCATTGTTCAAAAGTTGGTAGAATTTTGTTCTGCCTTTTTATCAACACAGAAACCGCCTATATGAGAAATCCCCACAGGACTTCTTCTAAATGCAATACTCCATTGTATTTTCGTTTCAAAAGAAACTTCTTTTGGTCCATTTCCCACAACGCGTCCTTGTTCAAATTTTAAAAAGAAAGGACTAATCTTTAACCTTTGTTAAGCTTAATAACAAGTTTTCGGTTTTTTTTTAGCCTTTTGTATGGACTGCTGATTCAGGATCAATGCTAATTTATTACATGACTAATGTATTGTCGATTCAGGATCTGATCAAACCTCGTCAACGTGAATAGATAAATTAACTGCCAGCCATTAAAAAGCCAGTACTGCTTTCTGATTTTTAGCAAGGAAAGGAATTTCATTTGCGTACTTCCATACAACCCATGGCTAATAAGCAGGACGGTATTAGTTTGAAGGTCTTGGTGGACAAGGAAAAGAACAGAGTTATTTTTGCGGAATGTGATAATGATTTCGTCGATATTCTCTTCAGTTTCTTGACAAATCCCATGGGAACCATTATCAGGCTTGCCAGTAAACATTCACTATCCGCGAGGATAGGTTGTATGAACAATCTGTACACAAGTGTTGAGAGTATTGATGTCCAGCATTTCCAGAACAAAGTATGTCGAACCATGTTGCTAAGTCCTCGCAATGGCGCCGAATCTCATTGCATGAACCTGAAACTCAAGATTGATGATGCTGAGCCTAGACAATTCTATATCTGCTGGTCCAATGAATGCAGAACCTCCAAGTTTAAGCTCTTGAGTTGTTATAGAGAAGCCATTTGTGAATGTGGAAATGAGATGTATTCCGAGTTCTCCCCACCAGAGACGGCAATACCTGCTGCAGATAGAGTAGTTTTTGTCAAAGTAACGAACAGATATATCATTAGCGATGATTTACAAGTGATGGTCCTCTGTTCAGCAACAAGCTTTTCTTTGTTGTCAAAGTCGGGGGTCATGGACTGGAGTACCATTGAGGAAAAGACTTTTAATTTGGCAATAAATGAGGTAGCCTAAGTGACAAGTTTTCTTCATTTCGCCTTTCTTTTGCTATATGGTTTTAATTCATTTTCACCTGTCATGTATCTTTCAGGTTTTGGACCTGCTCGTGCGCGCGTTAGTATCAAGGACACCTTTGACAGAAACTCTCCTGACACATAAACCAGTACCTGATCAGTTAAACTCTGTGTTCCATTATCAAGGTAGATCAGCTGAATCACTAATTAAAGAAGAAATTATGAATCATGAGGAACGGGATATTTGTATCAATCTTTTTGTTAGCAAAACCAAGAACATGGTTTGCTATGCCGAAACAAAGATAGACTTTGTTAATTTGCTCTTCAGCTTCTTAACCATACCACTTGGTCATATCGTAAAACAAGTTTACGGCGATCGGTCTTTGAAAGGTTGCATAAATCACTTGTACCAGAGCATCCAGGACCTTGATGAACAATGCTTCAAGTCAAGTGAACACAAGGAAATACTAGTCAGTCCAAGGCTTGCTCCTGGTTTCAACTATGAGAATGTTCTATTAGGAATTGAAGACGCCTCGCCTCCGCCATATTACTACTGCTGGAGTAGATATATGGGCGGGCAGCCGAATAGTAACGGAAATCTTGGTGGCTATGAAGTAGGGCCAATTGAAATGACGGTTATGAACTCAAAATCTCATGGCAAGGATGGAAAAAGACGGGGTGGGTTCCTAAGAGGAATGAATTTGTTCACTGTGACCGATAATCTGATCGTAAAACCTGTATCTCCAATCTTAGGCCTTTCCATTCTCAACGAATTGAAGGTGCCTTTCAGTGACATTGAGGAGCGAACTGTGAATGTGGGCAAGGAGGAGGTAAAGCCATAAATGAAACTTTGTTATATTTATCTTTATTATCTTTAAGTGTGATATAGCAATTTATTCTTCTCATTGCTAATCTGTTTTGTTGTGCAGGCAATGCGTCTTCTTCTATCTTCTTTTGTTTCGGAATCTGCTCTTACCAATGCTTTCATCAAGTGACTAAATCAAAAGACTGGTGAAATTCCCAGTGCTATATTTATCAAGTGTTAAATTTATCTGCTCTTACCAACGCTTTCATCAAGTGTTATATTTATCTGCTCTTACCAACGCTTTCAATATTACTACTTTTCCCATGCTGCCGTAAAAGTATTGTACTTAATTTCCTCAAAATTTCCGAAAAGACAGCAAGATAAGGCCTTTTTTTTTTTTCCAATGTGAGTAGGAAGTAGAACCCACATGACACTTAAATCAGCCCACAAGTCTGCCAAAAAAGCTAGTAGATTTACTTTTGTTAGTAGGAATTTTCTCTGTAGGCTTCTAGTAGTATCAATTTTTGACTTTTAAATTTAATTAAAATCACGTTGGATTAAAAAATTTGCAGTAAAAATAGTTTTTAATACATTGAAAATTATAAAACTATTAATAATTTATTTTTTTATCCTATTAAAGAAACTCTTTTGACTTGTTCAAATCCAAATTAAATTATACTAGAATGTTTTTTATCTCGTAAAAAATTTAAATTTTAAAATTTTTTCCCTCACAAAATTCGAATGAACCCAGTGACGAAGCCAAGAATTTTGAACCCAGGGACGAAGCCAAGAATTTTCGTCGAGAGGGACTAATGACTACGTAAAAACTTTTAATATTTTCAATATTATAGATATGGATGCGGATCGAGCGAATACAGTTGTCTTGAAGGTCTTTGTGGACAAGAAGAAGAATAGAGTTATTTATGCTGAATCTGATAAAGATTTTGTCGACATTCTTTTCAGTTTCTTGACAATTTCTTTGAGAAATGTCGCCATTTCTCGCACGTAATCAATCTCTGGCTAACAGGATTGGTTGCATATTTAACTTGTACCGCAGTGTTTGTACCGCAGTGTTGAGAATATTGATGAAGAGCATTTCCATTCTGAACCATGTAAAGCCATGTTGTTAAGCCCAAGCAACGGGGCTGAAATCTTTTTCAAGGCCCTGAAGCTGAAAATTTATGATTGTGTTTCCACAAAGTGCTTTAGGTGTGCCTTGAAATGTTGCAAAGAGGAGACGATAAGTTATTACAGGAGTTCTTTGCAAGTGTAACTTGCAAACGGATCGAAGAATGAATCTGAGTAGGGCGGCGTCGGAGGATGGGAACTGTTTCGTGAAAGGTGGGACTGCATACATGATTTATGATGATTTGCAGGTGGTTCCTGTTTCGTCCTCTCAAATCCTCTCTTTGTTTTCCGAGATTGGAGTTAAGGATCAAAATTCCATAGACGAGTTAACTATCAATGTACGATGGTTAAGAAGGCTTTAAAGATTTTTCCTTTTTGTGCAAATAAAATTATGTTTCATCTTCTTATTGTTTGATGTCTTGTCTTTGGTTATATCAGGTACTGAATTTGCTCTTTTGCTCGTTAGTATCAAAGGCGCCTCTAACAGAAACATTTCTGAATAGTAAAACAACACCTGAATCAATCACTGCTACTCTCTATTCTTGCCATATTGATTTTCTTCATAGTTCTTGTTTCTCGTTACTTTGTTTATTGATTGCTCATATATAGTCAGTTTCTGAGTTGATATGTTGTCTCTCATCAGGTTTTGAATTTGCTTTTGTGCTCGTTGGTATCAATATCGCCTTTGACAGATAGTCTTCTGAAGCAGAGCATTTGGGTCTCAAACGATAGAGGTGATGGATCAGGAGCAGAAAATTAATGTCAAGCTTTTTGTTAGCAAGTCTAAGAGGAGGGTTATCTGTGCTGTGAAGCAAAGAAAGACTTCGTTGATTTACTCTACAGTGTCCTAACTGTTCCACGTGGCCATATTTTCAAGAAAGATAATGGCGGCCCATTAAGGGGTTGTGTAGTTAACTTGTACAAGAGCGTCCAGGATCTTGTAGTCAAATGACCACAAAGAAGTAACAAGGGTTGCCCCAGGTTTTGGCTACAGAGCCGTATTACTACGGTGAAAATTAATGCACACTAACAAAAATAAATTCCTAGAGAGGAATTCAGAGCCAGTGCGGCTCATGGTTATGGATTCGAAATCTAGCGATGTCGAATTCATAAGCCGTGGGGGGGGGGGGGGGGGGGGGGGCTTGTAAAACAACCGGATTTGTTCACAGTGACTGGGAATCTGATCATTACCAATATTAGTGATGTCCTTTCTCGAGAAATTTGAGGTACCTTTTAATGACATTGAGGAGCGAACTGTGCATGTTGGCGAGGAGGAAAATATACTATAAACCCAGATCTACGACCATAAATAAATGGCAACCGTCCCTAGCTAGTAGCTGTGTTGGAATGTGATACGTTATCCTTTTTCCTGGCCTGACCTCACAAATTTGAGTTTTGGTTTTTGCAGGCATTGCAGCTTCTTCTATCTTCTTTTATTTCGGAAACTGCACTTACCTGGGCCTTCATGTGGAGCTAGAGCAAAGACTTGTTGCGATAGGTGAAATGACATCATGGCGTTTTGCACAACCAAAATGGAAAAGGTTGACAGGATGTTGGTCCTTAGTATGACATGAAAATGACGGAAATTTTTGTATTCTTGTAATATTTCAAAATTTTTGCTAAATTTAAACTTTGATATCAAATTTTTGCTATATGTGTAAATCACCCAATAGATAAATATTTTTTCTTTAAGCTGGTTATGTCATGAAGTTTTAAGTAAAATTATTGGGATTGAGTAATAAATTAATTATACAATTAGGTGCTAAATTAGTTATTAGTCAATAACTAATAGTTAATTGATGGTAATTTAATGGGAAATAACCCAACGATTATGGATAAGTTTTTAGGGAAATTTTCATAAAACAAAATAATTATATTAACCGTCATCACATAAATTATTAACAATTAATTTTATAAAAAATTAATTATTTAGCTATGGGATAGTATCAAAAATCTAATATGCTCAAAATGAGTCCAAAAGTCAATTAGGATTTTGTTATCACAACTGACAGTAGGGCATCAAATTCTAATAGGAGACGGTATTGACTGAATAACAAGCGAGTGTAAAACTTGGGATAACATTAGTGCGGAATCTAAGTACAAACCTCATATTATCTTTGTTAAATTTCAGAAAATTGCTCGTCAATTTTGTTGTCAGGTTCCAAAGTTGTCAAAAAAAAAAAAGTTTAGATACTAATATGTCGAAATTAAAAGTTTAAGAACCAAAATGTCAATCTCCCCGTTCACTTCACCAATTCGAGTTTAGAATTCGAGTTTTGCTACAGTAAAAAGCTCTCACAAACAATCACATCTAACTTTTTTGCTACAGTAAAAAGCTCTCACATAAAATCACATCTCAACTCGAATTACAAACTCGAATCAGCGAAGTGAACGGGCCTGGCCTAAATCAGTGCAACTCATATTATTCATTTTTACATCATGGACTCCAAACTTTTAATTTTTATAAATTACACTCTGAATTTTAAAATCAGTAGCAATGGAGCCCAAACTTTTAATTTTTACAAATTACAGCTTGAATTTTAAAATCAATAGCAATTGAACCCTAATAGCTAACATATGTTATTAAATTGACGGTTCAATATACGAGATTGTCATTTGTTATGTCACATACAAATCTCTTATCTCGAACTGTTAGTTTGATAACAGAATCAGCTATTAGATTTCAACTACTATTTATTTTAACGTTTGGGGTGCATTTTGTTAAAATTAAAAGTTCAGATTTTCTTAGGTAAAAAATGAATAGCTTGGGGTGCAATTGTATAATTTACTCTTAATTTTTTTATCTTTTTTTTGTTATATAGTAATAACAATAAGTTAAGTGGAATGAAGTGCTTAGAGCATCTCTAACCCACAACAAAATGGCGCAAAAAAGTGGAAATGGCGTTCTGCTCTTGCTCCAACCCAACGGCAATTTCACCTGCATTTTGGTGTGCAAGTGGCTGGAATAAACTCGTTCACTTCGCAGATTTGAGTTTTTAATTTGAGTTGAGATGTGATATTTTTTTAAAATTTTTTACTGTAACAGAAAAAGTTAAATGTGATATTTTCTAAAAATTTTTTACTGTAAAAACTTAAAATTGAAAACTCGAATCGATGAAATGAACGACTTTTTTGTCCTGACTTTTTTGCCTCACGATCCAATTGGCAGGGTTAAAGGCATGACATGTGGTCATAATTCCAACTCATCACTCAAAAACATTTTAAAATAATTAAATTAGAACAACTATTTTCCTTTTGTAAAAACTAAAAACAAACTTATTTTTGAGGCCCAACTGTTATTTTATTATTTTTTTCTCTCTCCTACCTTGTTCTCCGTTTCCAAAGCCAAAATACCTATCATGATTTTTTTTTTCACCCTGTTTTTTCTGTGGGAGGTTAATAATCGAGAATAACAAATTTAATAGGCCCCGTTCACTTCGCCAATTTGAGTTTAAAATTCGAGTTTTGCTACAGTAAAAAGCTCTCAGAAACAGTCACATTTAACTTTTTTACTACAGTAAAAAGCTATCACATAACATCACATCTTAACTCGAATCAGCGAACTAAACGGGCCCATATGACTATCAATTCAATACAAATAAAGGGATAAAAACACGGAAAAATACCCAGTTTCTGCATCTTTTCTATTCTAACTTGGTGTTCGTCATTCCTACTGCAATTTGATATCATAGCCCCGTGGGTATATTTCTCTTTTCATCTCAATTAGAAAGATTCAAATCACCATCTTTGGGTAGTTTTTTTTTCCCCGTTTCTCTCCTATCTTGGTTCTTCGTTTCGGGCTTTATGCACGATGAAGTATGAAATTTTTTATTTTTTATTTATTTTTTATTTTTTATTTTTATTTTTTTTTTCCCGGTTGTGGGTTATTCATGGGTAATGAAGGTTGGTCATACTTGTATATTAGATGATGTTTGGTTTATGTATTTAGAATTATAATTTAAAATTATTTTTATTTTATGTGTATTTTTTATGAAAAAAAATATTATAAAAAATTATAAATTATAATTCAGAATTATGAATAAATATAAAAAACAAACGTCTCCTAAATTAATTCAGATCCATCCAGTTTTTTTTGGCCTTATAGTCTTTATATTAAGTATTATAATAAACCAACAAACTACAAAAAGAAAGCAAATAATGCAGGTTACGTTCACTTCGCTGATTCGAGTTTAGAATTTGAATTTTTTTACAGTAAAAAGCTCTCACATAAAATCACATCTCAACTCAAATTTTAAAGTAGAAAAATGGCAATATTGAAATTATAGGTGAATATGATGAGTCTTAGTAAAAGCTGAGAGGTCGATTCGATTTTTTAATTTAAATTGAAATATAATTTTATGTGAAAATTTTTTATTATAATAAAAAAATTAAATATAATTATTTTTAAGAATTTTTTATTATAATAAAACTTAAATTAGTAATATAAACAGGACTTAAGGTCACATACGCTTAAAAAAATCAAATGTTGTAGAAAAAAAAACTGATTAAAGAAAAAAAAAACTGGTTAAATACTTCCAGCTGTATCTTGAAATTCAAATTCAAAATTTCATTTAACCGTTCAGACCTTGAAGTGGCAGCCATCCAACCGTCGATCTTGGAGCAATTCCTTGGAATACGAATAAATTATTCCAAAACTGTATATAGCCGTTATCGGCCATCCTATATAACGCCTTTTATTCTCTGCAATATTCTCTGTTTTCTCTCATTCGCTTCCTCTCTCTACCTTGATTTTCTAATTCCAGAAAGAAACGAAAAGAAAAGAAAGGAAAAATGCGTGAAATCCTTCACATCCAAGGAGGCCAATGCGGCAACCAAATCGGTGCCAAGTTCTGGGAAGTCGTCTGCGCCGAGCACGGCATTGACCCGACGGGGCGTTTCCATGGCGAATCCGATCTTCAACTCGAGAGGATCAACGTCTACTACAATGAGGCCAGCACCGGCAGGTTCGTCCCTCGAGCCGTCCTCATGGATCTCGAGCCCGGGACCATGGACAGTATTCGGTCCGGTCCCTATGGCCCCATTTTCAGGCCGGACAACTTCGTTTTCGGCCAGTCTGGCGCTGGGAATAACTGGGCCAAGGGCCATTACACCGAAGGCGCCGAGTTGATCGACTCCGTTCTCGATGTGGTTCGCAAAGAGGCCGAGAATTGCGACTGTTTGCAAGGTACATTAGTTTATGAAGAACTCAAATTCTGCGTCAGATTTTCGCTTTTGTTTTTTTATATCTTTTGGGTTTGAATTTGTTGTGTTATTTTGTTGGGCAGGATTTCAGGTTTGCCATTCACTTGGTGGTGGAACTGGGTCTGGAATGGGAACGCTTCTCATTTCAAAGGTCAGAGAAGAATACCCAGATAGAATGATGATGACTTTCTCTGTCTTCCCTTCTCCGAAAGTCTCCGACACTGTTGTGGAGCCTTATAATGCCACTTTGTCTGTTCATCAGCTTGTTGAGAATGCAGACGAGTGCATGGTTCTTGATAATGAGGCTCTCTACGACATTTGCTTCCGAACTCTCAAACTTTCCACTCCGAGCTGTAAGTCTTTTTTTCTCACCCCCTCTTGTTCACTTCTTTAAAAAGTCATGATATACGAGTTTCAATATTGATGATTTTTTTTCTGTGTCGGCATGGCAGTTGGTGATTTGAACCACTTGATATCAGCGACCATGTCAGGAGTGACGTGCTGCTTAAGATTCCCCGGCCAACTCAACTCCGATCTCCGCAAACTCGCCGTCAACCTCATCCCGTTCCCTCGTCTTCACTTCTTCATGGTGGGTTTTGCTCCTCTGACTTCACGGGGCTCGCAGCAGTACCGCGCTCTGACCGTTCCCGAGCTCACTCAGCAGATGTGGGACGCCAAGAACATGATGTGTGCCGCTGACCCGAGGCATGGCCGCTACCTGACAGCCTCGGCCATGTTCCGCGGCAAGATGAGCACCAAGGAAGTGGACGAGCAGATGCTGAATGTGCAGAACAAGAACTCTTCCTACTTTGTGGAGTGGATCCCCAACAATGTGAAGTCGACGGTCTGCGATGTCCCGCCTACGGGGCTCAAGATGGCGTCGACTTTCATCGGGAATTCGACGTCCATACAGGAGATGTTTAGGCGGGTGAGCGAGCAATTCACGGCCATGTTTAGGAGGAAGGCTTTCTTGCACTGGTACACAGGAGAAGGGATGGATGAAATGGAGTTCACTGAGGCTGAGAGCAACATGAATGATCTTGTTGCGGAGTATCAGCAGTACCAAGATGCTACAGCTGAGGAGGAAGAGTTTTATGAGGACGAAGAGGAGGGAAACTATGATCAGGAGATGTGAAAGCTATAATTGGGCATGAGAATTGTGAGGAACTTTTGCTAAAAAGGAGCAAAGTTTTTTGTTTAACCTCAACCTTCAGTTGTGGGTGTTTGTAGAATATGAAAGGAATTACTGCGAGTTAGTTTGCTGTAGTTCGCTTACATTTTCTGTAATCTGATTTATGTCTTCTACTTCAGTAGTGAAGTATGCTCCCTCTCTTAAAACTTCTTGTTTATTAAGACCTTGGATTGGTTGAATAAGATGTTTTATCTTTTTCTTTTCATACTGTTACCATCAAAATAGAGTTGCCGTGTATTTTTTATTTACTTTCTTGAACCAAAAAACAATTTATATGATTGATCTACCCCATATAACGAGGAAATAAAGAATTTCAACATGTCGTTTACTATCAAAAATAGAGTTGCCGTCTGTGTTTGATCTACACATGTAAACGATAATTGATCTACACATAAACGAGGAAATAAAGAACCACAACATGTCGTTTACTATCAAAATAGAGTTGCCGTCTGTGATTGTACACATATAAACTAGGAAACAAAGAACTACAAGTCTACAACATGTCGTTTATTACTATCAAAATAGAGTTGCAGTCTGTGATTGCGAGAAATTAAAGAGCTACAACGTGTCGTTTACATAAAGTCAAACATCTGTCGTGACACATGTAAACGACATGCAGTTTTTTTTCTCTAAACGACAGCATAACTTCTACTTTAACATGATAAACGATGATGTGTGTTGATTCAACATGTCGTTTACACATGTAAATCATTTCTGTTAGCTTGAAATCCGACAAAGAACATTTTGGGCCCCTTTGGTATTTTCAAAATGATTTTGTTTTCAATACAAAATTAAAAATAAAATTATTTTGAGAATTATTTTAAATTAATTTTAAAATTACGTTTAGTTAATTTTTTAATTTTTAAGAGATTATTTTGAGTAAAATAAAAAAATAAAATCGTGTTTAGTTATAATTATTAATTAATATATTATAGCATTGTTGATAAATATTAAAAAATGAAATCAAAAAAAGAAAAAATAATTTTCAACCGTTTTCTAATTCTTTTACAAAAACCACTCTCACTGTTTTTTGTTTTCGTTTTCATTTTCAAAATACTTACTAAATAAATACAGTTTGCAGACCGTTTTCATTTTTTGCATCAAAAGACGTTCAAAAACGTTTTTAAAAACAAATAAAAATCAATTTCAAACACACTCTTTTTTTCTCCCTTTTTTTTCTTTAAGGCGTTTTTCTTATTCTAAGGGACAAAAGAATTAGGATTATTATCACTGGTGCTCCTGAATTTTACGTCATTTTCAGGTTGTACTTAGACTTTAAAAACTCTCATTTTATATTATGAATTTTAGATTAATCCCATTTAAGTCCTTTTGTAAGATTTTTTTTTAAATCAGATCATAAAAAAAGGGTTAAGTACTTTTATGAGGTTTTTATCATTTTTTTTAACATATATTCAACAAAAAAGATTACGTGTATTACTCTTTTTTTTTCTATAACTTTTTAACAAAAATTTCAATAGCATAAGTTAAATGGAAATAATTTAAATTTATAAGAATAATTTAGAGTTTTTAAAGTCTGACAAACAAATTAAAAATGACTTTAACTTAAGAGTCACCGGCGATAATAATCCTAAAAATTAATTTTGAAAAGAAACGTCGACATCAAACTTAAAAGTTAAAACCAAAGGGAAAACGACGTGCGAAATTAGAGTTTTGAAAAATTAAGGGGGTCATTCCGAAATAGTAGAAACTTTCTCACTACTCGGAGTCGGGCGCGTCCCACCAGCAGGCGGCACTCACCAGAGGGCAGAGACGGAGTATCAAATATTGAAAGCGAAACGGAGAGTCCCAAACCTGAAGTCCTGAACTGAACGAAAATGGCGAACAGTCTCGCTCTCGCAAACAGAGCATCGGCCGATCGGAGCCTAAGCTTCTTGAGGCTCTCATTGAACTTCCTCAGAGGCTTTAGCACTTCTCCTCCTTCTACCCAAAACCCTAGCTCTTCTTCGTCCACGGCCTCCTCCAAGAAACCCAAGCGCAAGAAGAAGAAGAACCTCTTCGAGGTCGCTCAGTTCTTGCCCAACTGGGGAATCGGCTACCACATGGCTAAAACCCACTGGACTGGCGTATCTTACGAGATCACCAAAATCAATCTCTACAAGGTCATTTCTCCTTTCTCTCTCCTGTTTCCCCATTTTTATTTTATCTCTCTTTGTCGTGGCAAACCGATATCAAGCTGATATTTTTTCGTGGGTAAAGTCCCCAAATTTTTTCTAGGGGTATAAGGGATTTATGGCTCGTTTGGTTGGTTGGTATCTTGTTGCAGGATGGTCGGCATGGCAAGGCGTGGGGAATCGTGCATAAGGATGGTCAGTATTCTCTTGTTTAATTAGATTTTAACCTGCGGAGTTCTATATAAATTTTGGCTTGTATAACTGGATTTTGTTATTTTTTCATACATAATTATTTTGGCTTCTATAACTGGATTTTGTTATTTTATAATACATGATTATTGATGATCTTTGAGCTTGTTATAGTACATCCAATGCAAAGAGAAACTCATCCTTGTAGGTATTATTGACAATGAAACTATTAGTGGGCATCGTTTGATTTTACAAACAGTAAAGGGTTCGTGTTATGCAACTAAAATGAGTTTTTCCCTTGTCTGTTTTTAAGGTTTCATGTCCTTGGATATTGTTTCAGGAACTGTCACTCCCTTAAAACATTGGAGAGATGGACTAGTGAATAGTTATGGCTTAATCCTTAAGCTTATGAAGTAATTTTCGTGATTTTTTGTTCTGAGTATCAAGGGCCAAGTGGTCATATGTAGCTGTGGCAGATTCAGTATCTAGCAATAGCATGTGCCAGTAGTGTGAAATTTGTGGGATTAGACTTTTTTTTTTTTTTGAATTTGGAAAGAATATAGCTTGGAATGAAGCAAATAAATGAATACCTATTTGATTTTTGTTTGATAGGGTATTGTGAAGCAGTAATGTGTTTAAGATTTACTAATTTGGAGTTTTCAACCAGAAAAAGTATTTAGGAGAAGAAAAAAAAAAAAAAAAAAAAACCAAAGTATGGAGGTTATCAGTTATGTAGCCAATTACATTTTCTTTTGTATTGTGTAATCTGGCTTGCACTTAATTGCGTAATCAGAACTGTGTTGTACTACGTTGGAAACTATCCAAGTGTCTTCCCGGTTGTTTTCTCATTAAGAGCCGAATGCATCCTAATCATGGTTGAGGAGTTTAGGAAAGGGATTGCAAACTTTTTTAACCTGCACATACATTCTGATGGTTTGTTAGATCTTTTTTCTGCGCTAGTCTTGAGAACAACTGGACAATCTTGATGCTTTTTGGTTTGTAGTTTATTTATGTTTCGTGATGTCCTCGTATTGCTTAAAACGACCAGAACTAGTTGAGATAGTTGTCTCATTATTTGTTGTGTGGTTAGTGTTAGATATCTGTTAACTCATTCTTCTCCTTACACGAACATTGAGTCGGTGCACTTCTATGGCATGTAGGCTTGCCACCAGCAGATGCGCCCAAGAAAATGAGTGGAGTCCACAAGCGCTGTTGGAGATACATCCCAAAATTAACCAAATCAACTGGAAGCGAGTCAAGTGCGACTAAGCCGACAGAAAATGCTTCAAAAGCTGACGCCCAAGTAGCTTGATGGAATTGCTATATTTTTATTGGTATCTTCTTAGATGGGTTACTTGTCTTTCATTAGCACACTTGTGCTGATATGTTTCGTCCACCACCGTGACATCTTAGATCTCTGAAATTAGAGAATTTTGGCGATGAAACGGATATTTGTTGTCGGGTTATTGTTCAAGAACAGAATAAATTTCTACAATATTGTGTCTGTTTTTTGGGCTCAATCCTATTTGAAAGTTATTGAGGGTGCTTGGGGAGGTGGGGGGAGTGAGAGGTTTTTTCCTAAGGTGGCCCTAGGTGCTGTTCAGTGTAATCCTATTATAATTGCTTAGGGCCTTGTTAAAGTACAATAGCTAGCTTAATTATACTTTACCCTTACCTTTTTATAGGAAACTCTTCATTGAAGTTTTTCTTCTACTAGTTTTGTGGACGTGCTCTGCACATGTGTGTCACTTGAATAGTCTATTAGATAAATCAATTTTGATTTTAAACACGTAGTAGAAGAGATTAAGAAAACAATTAAATATAAATAATATTTGATCAGGTGCATTTTAAAAATTAGATTTTAAAACAATAAATTTATAATCATAACGTATGGTTTTGTTAAAAGAATTATTTTGATCTGGATAAATTAAATTGAAAATTAATTAGGGTGTGCATATGAAAAAGAAAGGCAATGAAAAAAATGAACAAATAAATGAAGACTCGGTAATTGGGAGAAGAAATGCACAGCCTCAGGCTCAGCATTCTCATCAAGCCGAAATCTAATACATAAATGATCTTTCTGGTACAAAAAAGAGGTGTACAATTTATCAGTATCAACAAAAGTTCAAAAGACTAAAAGCCCCACCACTAGGTGGTAGTCAGTGGCATTGGTTGCTCCCACTTGGTTTCGTAGATGAGAACTGAGAAGTTTCTACTCCGACTTCTATAGGATGCGCTCGAGACTTTTTGCAGGTTTTAATTATTCAATGTTCATTAGCTCCTAGTTAAAGTGACGATTCATCTCTAAAGAGGTAAATAGTTATGACTTAATACAGGTATCCGTTAGCATATTAGGATATGTATGATCGTGGACTAAGTAATTACGGTTGATCGTCCCTAAACATCTTACTTTAAAAAAAAAAAAAAAAATCCATTTTATCCATGTCCAACCCTATCTTTTCTAGGTTGGTTGGTCTCTGTCACCCTTGTTCATATATTTACTTTGATGAACTATCAAAACGAAATAAAAAAGGCTTGGCAATTGAGAGGAGAAATACACAGCTTCAATATTTCATCAAAACGAATTCTAATGCATAATAATCTTTGTGATCCAGAAGAGTTGCGCAATTTATGAGTGTAAACAGAAGTTTACAAGACTAAAAGGGCCACCACCAGGTGGAAGTAGAAACGCTTGAGACTATTTATAGGTTAATATTTGTTAGTTCTTTGGTATGTTTAAGGTGACACATTTTGCCTCGTGGTATAAGTAGTTATAACTCAATGCAGACATTTCTCAATATGTGGCACCTTTATGGCGACGTTTGAGACTATTTACAGACTAATCTCTATTAGATTTTAGTAAGGTAAAGATGACACATTTTGTCTCCCGATACAAATAGTTATGACTCAATACGGATATTTTTTAATGTGTTGGCATCTTTGCGGTCATATTAAAATGGGGTAGCTATGGCCGTAGTTCCTCCCCATGTTACTTTCCCACCGAAAAAGAGAGAGACTAAAAGGCCCTTCTCAGTTTTACTATGGGGGCAGTAACTTTCTCCAAACCATGATGTTCTTTTCTTAAAAAACAACTCTCTCAAAGTCCAACCTCCATATCTTTTTTAGGTTGGTTGGTCTCTCTCTCACCCTGGATCATATATATACTTAGATGAATTATCAAACATCATAGAAAGAAGCAAAAAAGAAAAAGCAAACAATGCTGACGGCCAAAACGGTACAGGAGAAAAAGAAAAACGGACAAACGGAAAAGAAGAAAGAGATGTTAGAAGAAAACTACTGATGAGGAGACAGTAACAGCAACAACACTTTCACACTCATTTCGCATGCACTCTTTTCACTAACTTTTCCCAGTTTTCCCTCTCTCTCTCTCTCTCTCTCTCACTGTGAGTCCCACAGTTTTCCTTGTTACTGGCTCCTCATGCGCTCAAAACTGTAGTTTTCTTGCGCTTTCCTTTTTCGACGACACTGCTTTGTAACTGACAGCCACGGTAAATTTACATATTATATATATAGAGAGAGAGAGATAGAGATACAAGACACTAGAGAGAGAGAGAGAGAGAGAGAAGAGAGAGAGAGAGAGAGAGAGAGAGAGAGAGAGAGAGAGAGATTTGACAAAAGAGTGAAAACAACAAACACCACCAACTCCTTACCCCACATCACCACCAGCAAGACCTCCTTAACCTCTCTTCTTTCTTTCTATTTTTTCCCTTTTACCTATGAATAATTATTCAAAGTCTCAAGCTTGAATAATCCCTTGAAATCCACCAAGCTCAAACCTTGATGGTCTCTTAGCTGCCTTCTTCCATATCATTATTTGTCGTTTTGTGTTCCTAATTCTAGAAATGTCAGCTGTACTTGGGACCCACCATATTGGTAATGACAGAGGAGGAGCTGAAGAAGAAGAAGAAGAAGATTCGGATGAGCAGTATTCATGGCCTCAAAGGGAGTCGTCTGAATCGGAGGAGTGTTTGTCTTTGTCGGATGTGGATTTGGAGTGTGGGGAATTGGAAATGAAGGTGCATTCAGATTTTAAGGAAATTGAGAGAGATTGCAGGATTTGCCACTTGGGTTTGGAGTGTGGTGTTCCCATTGAGCTGGGTTGTTCTTGCAAGGGTGATTTGGGCTCTTCCCACAAGCACTGTGCCGAGACTTGGTTCAAGATCAAGGGTGACACGTTAGTGAGTTTTTCCTTTTTTTTTTTTTTTTTTTTTTGGTCACAGAGTTTATGGATTTTGTTATTTTGTACCCTTTTTGGATCATCTTGATACCCAATTTTGTTTGACACAAGCAAAGCTTGTATTTGTGATTAAGATTTTCTAGGTGTTTTTGGCTTTCTGTGAACTAGTGAACACCGAAGTAACTAAGCTTTTCTTTTATTCATAGATTTTGTCATACAAAACACGCTTTGAAGTTTTTGAACTATTTTCAAATAGACACCATCATGAAATATTCTCTTGTTGGGTTCTATACGTTGTTCATCTCTCATAAGTACTTTTGATAATTAATGGAATTCCTAACTGCTAACTTGATCCAGCACTAGAGACTGACTTCTGATAAAAACCTCTCTGTCAAAGCACTGCCTTCTTATTGAAAGTCTGTGCTATCATGTGTTAACTTAGCATTTTGAAATTTTTCTCTGTATGTTTTTTTTTTTTTTTTTTTTTTTTAAAAAAAAAAAAAAAAAAAAAAGATGTAAACACAATCCAGCAAAAATTTCTTTGCTATTGCCTCATTGTTGCATATCTTCTTTGTTCTTCATTTATCTATAGGCTAGTCTGCCAGTTGCAAAAAGCTAGGGATGTTACTTTCTTTCAACACGTTTTCGTTTTTCTCTCTGTTTTTTTTTTTTCCCCTGGCTTTTTGTTCTATAATTTGACGAAAGTAACTGATTGAATAGTCCAACAGCCGCACTACCTCATCCAACAGCCGCACTACCTCATCGAGATCATGTATTTGCTTAGAGTTTCTAATATGTACACAATTCATACATAGTCTGTACTCTGTTCATTGCTTGCTCTTACTTTAGAAAAAACCATTTTGCAGAACCTGCGAGATCTGCGGTGTCGTTGCACTCAACATTGTGGGCGAGCGGACCAACGTGGCAAATGCTGCTACCGTCACAGCTCCATCAGCACTGGCAGCTCCCGTGATCCTTGTGGAGACAATCTGGCATGGCCGCCGCATAATGAACTTCCTGCTCGCCTGCATGATCCTCGCCTTCATTACTTCTTGGCTCTTTCACTTCAAGATACTTTAATGGATCTCTAATCAGTACCAACGAAAAGGACAATTCCGGGGCTTGTAGTGGCACCTTTGTGTGTACTCGTACTTTCTCGTACAATCTTGCTCGAGTTTATTTCAAGTTGCGGTCATCTACAGTGTATAAACTTTCTAATTCAACTGCGCCAATGTCAATATGTTACGAGTTGAGAATTGAAATATTTGGCACAAAGTTATAGACTCGAATTGCCCAATTTTCATGTTCAGTATTTTCCATTGCAAGATATGATAAATAAGAGATGGTGGGCCAATTGTCTGCATGGAGAAGTATTAATAATGTCGGTAAATTGGATTCTTCGAAAAGTTGGTGGCAGTACAAAACAAGTAATATCTCAAATGGACCCATTTAAAGCACGAATCCAAATATAAAGCTTAGTACCACTACTACACTCCTGGAGGAGAAGCAGAAATGGAATATGAAGACGACTAGAGCTTTGGCGAAAGGACAAAGAAATGCAGAACCCAGTTGCTGGAAAACAAAATTAAGCTATAGGAATTAAAAAAGGAAAAGCTTTTGTACCCTTGATTCTACACAGAGTAGTGTTATATCATGCAACTATCTCAACTACATTTACCCTCAAAATTAACATATCCAATGATTTTGAAAAAACTACTCGATATTCACGTCTTTCACCGCTCGCTCATTTTAAAGTCAACAACAGCCTTGTCAAAAGTGCTCCTGACGTGCTGGCACATCAGCATTAGATCCTGGCATGCATCTTTCAATACATCTGCGGCCAGATCACCTGTAGAAGCATTAGCAATAGAAGCATTAGCAACTCCACGACTCTAAAACTACCTAATGACAGGAACGTAACAAGTAGCAGCTTGAGAACAGCTATAACTCTTTCGAAGCTTGGTTGAGAAACAACTTTAGTGGAACTGTAGAAGTAACTTGCACCTACACAACGCCATACAGTGATACAGATAAATGGGCTAGAGTCTAGACAATTTTGAAATGGTGAATGGAAATGTGTATACTCTAAAAGACTACTTACGGTGGGCCCATAACTAGAATCCAACATTAGTAAAGGAAGTAAATAATCATATTGCTTCTTGATAAGAACATCTCTAATTAGAAATTACATGTGGAATATGTTTGTAAAACATATAATTAAGCTGCCATTGCTTTAGGCGTTAAAAGAGAGGGTGTTTAGTATGAGGATTCATGCCATGGTTTGAATCATGGTTCGTGACTCGCTATAGTGTTTTCTCTCACAAAAAATACACGTAAACCGAGAATAGTTCTGAATCATGGTTCTGAATCCATGAACCAAAAGTCCACTAAAAAATGTATCACTGAATTACCAGACTGCACACAGCTTGGTTCCGGTTCCCGTTTATCAAACTAAGAGTGACAGCAAAGACACAAGACCTAGCTATCAAACTGAGTAATTGGAACATGGGATCACGCTATATAAGAGTTCGTTTGGTATAAGGATTCAAATCAGGATGGTTTGGGTTTTGGAATTCATGGTTTGAACCTTGAACCATGGTGATTGGAACCTTTGTTTGGATGTGTATAAGCTGGCATAGTTTGAACCAGAAACGTGATCCCAACTTGTGTTTAGTTGTCTTGTTTTTTGATTTTGAACCATGACCAATACAAGAAAAAAAAATTATAACTCTAAAATTATATTAAGTTAAAAGAGAAATAAAGGAAAAAAAATTGTCCACAAAACCAAAAAGAAGGCCAAAAATTGTCAGAAAGTACGCGAAGCACAGTGTGGGGGTCATTACTCGAGGGAAGCACAGTGTTGTTCACTGTGCTCTTAGGTTCCAACGGGCTGAATCAGGGGAGGGCCTAATTCCAAAATCAGAACCCAAAATGATCCAAAATGTCACATCTGATTCTAACCCAATTGCATGATTCTGGGCTTCCAAACATGGGTTCTCCCACGTGACCCAGAGTTATAATTCGGAATCCACCTACCAAACGACCACTAAGTGTTAAGAGGATATCAAATCAGGATGGTTTGGTTTTGAAAGCAGAATCAAGATTCATGGTTTGAACCTTGAACCATGGTGATTGGAACCTTTGTTTGGATGTGTATAGGCTGGCATTTGGTTTGAACCAGAAACGTGATCCCAACTTGTGTTTGGTTGTCTTGTTTTTTGATTTTGAACCATGATCAATACAAGAAAAATAAAATTATAACTCTAAAATTATATTAAGTTAAAAGATAAATAAAGGAAAAAAAAATTGTCCACAAAGCCAAAAAGAAGGCCAAAAATTGTCAGAAAGTACGCGAAGCACAGTGTGGGGATCATTACTCGAGGGAAGCACAATGTTGTTCACTGTGCTCTTAGGTTCCAACAGGCTGAATCAGGGGAGGGCTTGATTCCAAAATCAGGACCCAAAATGATCCAAAATGTCACATCTGATTCTAACCCAATTGCATGATTCTGGGCTTCCAAACATGGGTTCTCTCACGTGACCCAGAGTTATAATTCGGAATCCACCCACCAAACGACCACTAAGTGTTAAGAGGATATCAAATCAGGATGGTTTGGGTTTTGAAATCAGAATCATGACTCATGGTTTGAACCTTGAACCATGGTGATTGGAACATTTGTTTGGATGTGTATAGGTTGGCATTTGGTTTGAACTAGAAACGTGATCCCAACTTGTGTTTGGTTGTCTTGTTTTTTTAATTTGAACCATGACCAATACAAGAAAAAAAAAATTATAACTCAAATCATATTAAGTTAAAAGAGAAATAAAGGAAAAAAAAATTGTCCACAAAGCCAAAAAGAAGGCCAAAAATTGTCAGAAAGTACGCGAAGCACAGTGTGGGGGTCATTACTCGAGGGAAGCACAGTGTTGTTCACTGTGCTCTTAGGTTCCAACGAGCTGAATCAGGGAAGGGCCTGATTCCAAAATCAGGACCCAAAATGATCCAAAATGTCACATCTTATTCTAACCCAATTGCATGATTCTGAGCTTTCAAACATGAGTTCTCCCACGTGACCCAGAGTTATAATTCGGAATCCACCTACCAAACGACCACTAAGTGTTAAAAGGATAAAGGCACATTTGTAGAACACTATTATCCTATCTCAAACACAGAACTTTGGAAAAAAAAAAAAAAAAGGAAAAGAAAGGGAAAAAGAAAGAGTACAAAATAAGCTCAAAGTCAAAATATCAAGAAGCAGTCTCACAAAACAATCATCTGAGCGCATAGAACAGATCCCGTTCAAGTAAGTCATTCTAATTTTTTTTTTTTTTTTTTTTTTACGGGATTGAACCTGCAGCCCCTCGCCCAAACCCCACCCAAACTCCCAGTGCCACTAGACCAAAAGGTCTTAGGCAAGTAAGTCAGTCTAGAAGAACAATCATCTTGATCACTTATATATGCTGCTAAAGAAAGATAGTGTTTCATACCTGTTGTCTGGATCCTGATATTAACTTTATTGTCTGACGGATGAGGAATGCTGTATCCGCTAAATGTAACCCTAGGACTGCAATAGTATATATAAAAAAAAAAAGAAAAAGTTCTTGTTTAGGATCCTGCTGAAAAAAAAAGAAAAAGTTCTTGTTTAGGATCATGCTGAACACAATTCCTTGAAGAGTAAACTTTTTTTTTATTTTTTTTATTGTCGCAATAAGAAGTGAAGCAAATTTATCAAACTAACTAGTCACTAGGTCAACTAGATTATAAGAAGGCACAATATTGCAAGCTCTTCCATACTTCACGTACAATAAAGTAACTTCAGAAGAAACTGACACCCCGTTCACTTTGTTGATTCGAATTTAGAATTCGAGTTGAGATGTGACTTTATGTGAGAGCTTTTTACTGTAGCAAAAAAATTAGATGTGATTGTTTGTGAGAGCTTTTTACTGTAGAAAAACTCGAATTCTAAACTCGAATCAGCGAAGTGAACGGAGCCTTCAATTCAAAGTTTTGGCTCTCTTGATAGTATTACTTCTGAAGAAATCTAGGAACCCAAAAACCAAGTTAATGATTGGAAAATAAAACAGAACCGAGTGCCAAAATTGTAAAATTTGCTCTGTATCGGGTCGCAGGAAATTAGTCTCCCGAATCCTTCTAATTTCTTATTAGGCTTAAACTAAAAGGGACATGCTCTCAATAATATTTCTTCTGTGATTTACGGTCCTCGGTTTTAAGCTATATTCAAAACTCTCCATCTTAGAGGACCAGCATCACAATCACAATAAAATTTAAAAGACGGACATCAAGTGATCATTTATAAATAGCTAAGCCCATGTATTACAAAGGGAAAATAGACGAGAAGCATTTTACACAAGATCACTTACTCCTGATTCAAAGAGAACCTGACAGCATTTGCGAGTGTATGATCCTCATCTGTCAATGAAAACGTTGACTTTGTGTGATCTGAAAATGACCCGTGTTCCATTACTCCAGGAAACTCTGAAAGATAATGATAAAAAGTTTTAAAAAATTGAAAACCCAAACCTAACACCGAAATTCCAAAACATTACAAACTTCACAAGCAAATTCCACATTCCAGAAAAAAGGAAAAGGATTCAATTTCCGCAAAATTCGCATACTTTTATATTAACTATCGCTACTGCTTCAATTAAAAAACACATTTTTCATTTTGAACAATAATCTGTTTGGTTTACAAGAGAGCGAAATGTTACAGAAACTCCCACATTTCAGCGAAGCTCAGTTACCTCATAGCCAAGCTCTCATTTTATTAAAAAACACGACATGCCTCCCACATTTCAGCGAAGTTCAGTTACCTCATAGCCAAGCTCTCATTTTATTAAAAAACATGGCATGCCTTTTTTTCTAAAATTTTCTCAGTATCCAAACGAACCCAGAAATAAAATAAAACTTCAGACCGGCCATTAATCGACAAGATTTAACTTCACCAATTCTAATTTATTGGCATAAATAAATCACTCTTTTAGTGCGTCTACTTCTGCTTGTATGCATGTGAGAGAGAGAGAGAGAGAGAGAGAGAGCGTACCAGAAGGAAGAAACAAGGCAAAGGAAAGAGAGCGCGAATGAAAAGACCGCCGAGAGAGAGAGAGAGAGAGAGTCACTTATAGGAAAGTAGGGATGCAGCCGAAATTACACTTTTGTCCTCACTGGAAGACGTGGCAATTTTTTATTGGATGTATCTAAAGCCTTGGTAAAAGATGTTCCAGTTCTCCGCCCTCGCATATACACTCTACACTCCTCCTTAAACCCTAATTCGCATGTTATAACTAGGGTTTTCGTTGTTCTTCAGTTTGGACTTTGGCCAAACAATCAGCTGTCGGATCTTTGCTCGAGCACTCGAACTTCTCAAAATTGTAAGCTACTTTTGATCGATTTGGAATTTGATTTGAAAAGAATTTAGTATTTAATCGTTCTGGTTCTCTTATCAGGTTCTAGTTCTAATGGCTGCCAATCACAATGCCCCGTCGGCCTTGGAAAAGGACCAGGTTGGCACTTCTCCATACGCTGTTTTTGGTTCCTCTATTGATTGATTCTGAAAAGAAATTCCATTGAATTCGCTTTTGTTCTACATTGGGAGTTTTTTTTTTTTTTTTTTTTTTTTTGGGTATTTTCGCCGTTTAGGGTTCTTGGAGTGAGTTAGTAATGAAATATTTTTTATAAGATTAATGTTGTGCTTTTTCATGCTCCTCGTGATATAAAGTTTGTGCTTTTATTTTTTTAATTCTTTTTTTCTTTCCGGTAAATCCGCAGATCTTTGGTATGGCAGAGAAAGAGATGGAGTACAGAGTCGAATTGTTTAACAAGTAAGTTTTTTGTGCATAATAGTGTAGTATAATGCGTAACTATAATACAAGTAGAATAAACTACATAACTAAAGTGTCTGAAGATATACGTCTTGCTTTGGATACATTGGCCTTAGGTCCTAGGATGTATAGCATTTGGCCATTGGACTTGATGTTTTATCGTCAATGATTTCACAATGAAGACTGTTTTCCTTTGCCATTTTCTTTTGCAATAGTTTGATTCAGTAGTGTCGTACTACTTGATGAAGGAATTTATTTCCAGTGTGAGTGATCTGGCATGGTTTTTATGGTGTGAAATAATTGATTGAGTTTTGTTTTGTTTTTTTTTTTTTTTTTTGTCTGATTGATGGACCGATCATCTTTCGGATTTCCTATTCTAAATTCCAATCAATCCCAAAATATATGTGCTTATGTAATGCTTTAGAGGTTAGCTATATTTATGGGATCACTTCTCAGTCCTTAAAGTCAATCTTCTCCCCTTTGTTAGACCGAGCAAATCTTTAGAGGCCTTAAATATAAAAAACTTTTAATTTTTTTCTTCAGTAGTAATGCAGTTTCCATCTTTAACTTCATGTTTATCATCTATTGCTCCATTTATCTATCTTCTTTTGGTTCAGGCTTACCCACACGTGTTTTAACAAGTGTGTTGACAAAAAGTAGGTGAAATTCTATTCTCTTTAAAGTCTTTATAAAAAAAATTAGGATTTCTTTTCAAGTTTTTTTTTTTTTTTTTTTTTTTTCTGTTCTCGTGAGTATGTATGATTGATGATCTAATTATTTGTTTAGGTACAAGGAGTCGGAGCTAAATATGGGTGAAAACAGTTGCATTGATCGTTGTGTCTCAAAGTATTGGCATGTAAGAGTTCGCATATGATCTTGTCACCGTGATACTTAAATTCAAATTGGACAAGGATAATAGAATTATAATTGCCCTTTCTCTTCCAGTAAACTTGTGAAACATCCCCATACATGGTTCCCCGTTATTGTGTTTGTTGGATGTTTTGTCGTGCAAGTTTTGCAAGATCTTCTTTTAACCAAATTCTAGGACACTAGTGTCGAAATTCTTAAAAGTAAAACCTACAGACTTAGAAGAATATGCCGAAATGATGCAGTGTTGTTCTTCAGCTGTGTTTCATGTGGAGTTTGCGTAATTAGAACTACATGCACTGCCTGTTTTAATGTGGATGTATCCGTGTTATGTGATTATGACGTTACAATGTTTCTTTATGAAATGGAATCAGCTAGTATTTGAATTGGAGATTTCTCTTAAGTATTTCTTTTAGGCCGATATTTCTTGACTTGGAGATTTCTTATGGAAATTAATGAGAAAAATCCTTTTTATCATTTTTTTCAGGTGACTAATTTAGTGGGCCAGTTGCTTGGCTCTGGTCGACCAGGAATGTGAAAAAATCTGTCTGCTCGATTTTTCATCAATAGATACAGCCTTGAGTTGGCGCCCGGTGATGCTGGAGATTGTAATTGTTCACTTTTTATGCGTTTTTGATACTTTCTGAATTGTTAATCAGGTGATTTTATCTTTGATGTCTGGGAAGAAATTGGTGGCAGTCTTAAATGTTTGCTGCCATAATAATATTGTGCATTCGTAACGAAGATTTCTCCTTAATAAATTCACTAATTTCAATGGTTCTCTTATTCCTGCATCGCAAAGCGCTCTTTATATTGTTGCAAAAAGAAAATAAGGTATACTCGGCAAACATTGTAAAACCCCACTTTTATTTTTTTGTCCGATGACATTGCATAACATTTTTTTTTTTTGAACGAGTCCTGGCCGAATTGTATAATCTTAAGCCAAACAATGCACGAGCTGGATAAAAACAACGAGTTATGTGACCCCGGTCCTCCCCTAATTTCCCGAGGAAAAAAAAAAAAAAAAAACTTTTGTGTGCCACTCTCTTTTTATTTTATTCTTTATAATTGCTCTTAATGTACTTTAATTTTTCGATTATCATATTTTAAAACTACGTTCCACTGCCCCCTGCAAAGACTAAAGATGTTTATTGCACCCTGAGATAAATTGAACATCTCAAAACTCTCTAGTAACAAGTTATGATTAAAAAACTGATGAAATGATCCGATTGAGACGTTCTATGATGCCAAACACACAATTTATATCATATGGCATTAATGCTTCAAGAATGGTAGAGGATAGAACCAAAGAGGTGTTGCAGCATTCGCCAACGCAGAAGCTGCTGAAATTTGGATAAATGAAACTTGAAAGCTACACCAAGACCAACATGTGGATTGCTAACAACTAATCCTTTTGGTGCTGCAGATACTCCAACGTCAAAGGAATGGACAAATCTACATACAAGTTTAATAAAGTAAAAATAAGAAAAAAAAAAAAGAACTATACATTTTCAGTCTCTATTTCTTTTGGCTTCCAAGGATGCACCATCCTTTAGAGTTTCCTGCGCGTCATTCTCCATCCCCAGGCTCTTCAAGGCAGCTGCCTGAAGATAGAAGGCAGTGGGCCACTCTGGGTTCACCACTTGGGCTTGCATAGCATCTCCAAGAGCTTCTTGAGACATGTCATTCATCAAGTAACATAAGCAGCGCCTTGCAAAAGCAGTCGGAGATATCATAGTCCCGCCGTCAATGAACTGTACAAGGAAGAAAGAAGATTCCACGTTAGTGAATCATAATCTAATGGTTCTCGATGTTTCTATGACTTGGTTTAGGATTTCTGAGCTTTTAAAAGAAGTTATATTTTTTCTTATAGCAAAACAACGAGAGTAGAAGTATTTTCATTTTCACCCATAGAAAAAGAGATATATATATATATATATATTATTGTCTGTAAAGGAATTAAGATTAAAAAAGGACTTACTTTCGTATAAGCTTCGATTGCAGTTGCAAAGTCTTTTGCTCGAAATGCAGAATCTCCACGCTTCTTAGCATTTAGCGTCTCCTGAATTTGATTTGTCCACATCTGGAATGAAAGCTGTTAACAAAGGAAATTCCATGATGATAATACATAAATTAGATCTGCGAGCAACATGAAGAAATTCAAGATATTGAAAGCATCTTTACTGGTTGATTCCTAGTATCATGTTATTTTGGGTTGTGTTGGTTAGCATTTCTTTGACATTAGTGCATAGGTTTCTTAGTTTAGTTGCTTATTTTATTTATATAAAGTTCAGTTCCTACTTCCTTACACAATTCAAGATAATAATTGTTCTTCTGGCAGTAAAGTGAAATAGGATTTAAAGAATAACTGACCTCATTGGCAACTCCTTCATCGTCCTTGTATCCAGCCTTTTCCAATATTTCATGTATAGCTGTAAGATCCAATCTTGAGCAAGCTTCACCAAGAGGTGACAATGTAATTTGCTTTGCAGTCCCATTTCCATGTGGAACACCCAACAAAACATACGATGGAACCTGTTATCAATGTTGATAGATAACATAAGGTTTTCAAGGCCATTTGTTAATTAAGGCACGAAAATTACTTATGCGAATAGAAATTGTGCGTGCCTCTGTTTCTTTCTGAAGAGGAGTAAGAGCAACCACAAGCGACTTGGCATTTGGCCGATCTCGAGATTCATATTGCAAACATCGTGAAGCTAACCGCACTAATTCGGTTCCATCATCATTTGAAAAGTGACCTTCCAAGCATGAATCCATCAGCATTGAAAAATTTTTACCACGTATTAGGTCAAGTGCCTACCACAAGGAAAATAGGAAGGCTTTCAGCTTGAAATTAATTTGATAATCTGACCATAATGACAATTATTGTCAAATTGATTAAGCATTTCAAGCAAGTTATTTATCACAAATGTTACTACAAAAAGCCACACTCAAATAGCTGAACCATAAGTAATTTAAAGCAATCTACTTTTGCTTATCTAAATATCATCTGGATGTCAAAGAGAGTTAATAAGCAACAAATCTCTTTAAATATAATTTTGCAAAGAAAAAAAAAAAGCTTACATGGCTAGGTGGAATGTGTTTTCCACTTAGCAGATCAAGCAACAGGGTGCCAAAACTGTATACCACACTTTCTGGTGTCACTCTTCCTGCCAGGAATTAAAAAAAGGATCTAATTAGTCCAATAAAAACTCGAAAGTTTATGCTCTGCATTGAAAATTCAAGTTAAACATGTTAAAAAAGAAGAAAGCCAAAAGGGATGGGTAATCTTGACAAATACCTCATGAAAGTGCATGGGTCATGATTTTTACCCTTTACTCTTGATTCATAACCTTTTTAGTCAAATAATTACACTAACAAAAGGGTATTTATCAAGAATAAGAGGTAAAAGTCTAGACTCGTGCACTCTTAAGGGTAAATTCTCCATTTTTTCAAAAGGGATTGGTCCGGCTAAAAATATGCCCAGAACTAAGTACTATGTTTAAGCTACTTAGAACAAGTGCATGAAAGTAGATGTCTGAAACTCTCAACTAGCTTTAGCATGAGTGGACTTGGCCCTTTGTAACTATGATGCAGTTCATTTTCTTGGGTTACTCTTCTTTTATTGGGTTACACTTCAAGGAAGTCTTTGTCCAACTTATCACAATGGCTATAATCCAGGATAATTGTGCAAAACTAGCAAGGACAAACATTATAAAAATTGAACATTCCATTTTCTGCAGCTATGATACCTGTCCTCAAGTATTCTGGAGGTGTGAAAGCTAAGTTGGTGCTATAGCTCTTGCCGTCTCTGCTATTCTTCATAAGACCAAAGCAGGAGAGTCTGGGATTACCATCCTGTCAAGTTTTAAGTATTAGGAATGGCCTACAAGAGGTAGTCAACAATTTGAAAATGGCAAAAAGTATGATTAAAAGGTGAGCATACCTGATCAAACAAGACTCGATAAGCATTAAGGTCATGATATAATGCTCGCCCTTTGATGCTGCAATATTCCAACGCTTGCGCCAGATACAAAGCCACTCGCAGTCTCATTGCCCATTTCATAGGCTGGGTCTCCCCTAAACCAATTCAAAGTTAACAAAAAGCAAAAGTTAAGGATCAATTATTTGCTTCTTATACGAAATAATTCAACATGGGATTGAAGAGAAATACAACTTTCCATGTCCCCGTTGTCAAAGGTCTAACAATTGCTTATGTCCCCAGCATTAAATCTCATTTGATTAGACCAAAAATGTACCATTAGTAGAGAAACGAACTACCAACCGAACTCAAAGCCATTCAACAGAACCTTACTAAAAGAGGCCATAGACAACAATTGGGTCAATAGCCTCTATGATTCTCGTTTCAACTTCATTTGTTTCTTCTCAACAACAAGGTCAACATACACTTTTACCTTTTTTTTCCCCGCTTTATCAACTTAAAAAAAAAAAAAAAAACGAAACAAAATGTCGACGTAGAACAAGCAATTCGAAAGCCGAAACTACTGAGGATCCGAAAAAACTGAGAGAAACAAAGAAAATAGACAAACAAGAAGAATTTTACATACAATGGAAAAGATGCTTAGAGAGAGTCTCATTGGGCATGAACTCGGCGACGAGGAGCCTCTCATCACCGTCGCAGCAAGATCCGATTAAATTCGCCAACCGCTCGCTTCGCAGCTGGCCCACGGTCTTGGCTTCATCCTAAAAACAATACAACCATTCATATATATATATATATATATATATATATTTGTACATACATAATATACTAGAAACAAATTCAATACTATTATGAATAGGAATCACTGATAAGAGCGAGAAAAGGTCACAGACCAGAAATTGGCGAGCATCGGGCCAAGCAGACTTGTTGAAGCGCTTCACGGCAACCCAGTGGTCGTCCTCGAGCTTGCCTCTGTAGACGACGTTCGGAGCTTTCTCTCCGTGCTCCGACACAATGTTCTCCGGCGAAAACCCCGACGTCGCCGCTCTCAGCTGCTCCAAGCTGAACTCGCGGAATCCAGGCAACGACTCCTCGTTCTTGCTCCCATTCTCTACAACAACCACACACACACACACACACACAAAAAGGTAAGCAAGCTGAAATTTTCCCGAGAAGAAAAAAGTTCATTTCTTTTCTCGTTAATTAAAAAAAACAAAGAGAGAGAGAACTCACCGGAATCTGAAGAGTCGTTGAGACTGGATTTGAATTTAATCTGACAAGGAAAGAAGCAGAGGGAGAACTTAGAGCACCGAGCTCCCATGAATCAACAACCTAAAATGCGCTTTGCTTTTGCTTTTACCTTTGCCTCTCTCTCTCTCTTTCTCTCTCTCTCTTCTCTCTCTCTCTCTAGAAAAAGCTTTCTTTTTTATTTATTTTCCAAGCCAGTTTTCTGGGGGAGAGTCCTTGAGGGTTTTGGGGGGAGAGAAAGTTGGAGGAGGAAGATAGGGTACAAATAGGAGGGAGGGAAGAGGAAGAGGAAGAGGAAGAGGAAGAGGAAGATAAATAAAATAACAACAATAAGCTGTAGAAAGAGAGTCATTGCTTTGCTTTGGTTGGGAAGCCAGGAAGGAAGTAAGAGAGAAAATTTTTATTTTTAAATAAAAATTAAATTTATACTTTTTAGTAAAAAGAAAAAAGAAACAGAAAATGAACTTTTTGGATCCAAGGTTTTGCTGTTTCTTTCCATGTGCGGGTGCATGTGTCCTCTTTCAGCTTTCTTACCAGCTCATCATTCCCTTTTACTCTGCTTTTCAGTTTTTTTTTTCTTATTTTAATTTAATTTTTTATTCTTCTTTATTTCCCTAAACTGTTATATCTATTTTATTTTAAAATTTTTTATTGTAGAATTAAAAAATTAAAACTAAATTTATAATAAAAATTATATGTTATGTATATTTTTTAATCTTATTTAATTTTAATTAAATTTAATTATTAAAAAATTAATTTTATTGGTAGGATCGCATACTAAAAACAGTCTTGTTCCTGTCAGAAAGATAAAAATATACTCACGCGCTTAAATCCATCGCGTGAGCTATATATTTCTTTTTTCTTTGTAATATATATTTTTGGAAAATTATTAATAATGGATTCATGTTCAGTAATTATCCTCTCTGTCTTTGATTCTTTCTGTTATTCTTAAAATAACAGTTGTTTCATCGCGTGAGTTTTTCCTGTTGATTTTAACAAAAAAAAAAAATTTCATCTCCAAAACAGTTTTCCCTTTTTTTTCTTTTTTTCTTTCATAATGAAACATAAGGCCGTGTAAGTTCTTGACTAGGGAAAAGCATCGCTGTCGTGGAGGTAGTCAAAGTCAGTTAAAAGTGGTCAAATTTGTTTAGTTTATTAATTAGGTAACGTTTTATTTAATGGACGGTAATTAATTTGGTTCTTCTAATCATCAAAAATATCCAATGGTTACAGTTACAAGTTCTATTTTTCCATTTTGTTTTCACCGTTTTTTTTTTCTTCGTTTCCCTCCAAAAATAATTTCATTAAGCATCACATGAGAAATATTTGTTCTGTCTTCTTCCAGAAACAGCTTCTGGTTGCCTGACTATTTCTAAAGACATCAACTTGGGTTAAGGAAGTCCTCAAACGACATCTGTTTCAAATTCAATAACAATGACCATTTTGAATTTTTTGATAAAGGGTCATTAGATAATTTTTTAGTTTTTCTTGCTTTAATTTAAGGAAAACAAGATTGGCAACATTCTTTTCTACAATCCTTTTTTTTTTTTTTTTGTGGAAAATGCAAAGCTTTCACACATAATATTTCCTTTACATCCTATCACATTCTATATACATGTTTAATGGTACCTTATCATAATTTTGTGATAGGATGTCAAGGAAACATGCTATTAGTATTGTATAATTTTGTACTATCACCCTTCAAAAGAAAAATTATAGGTCGTGTTTGGTATTGATTCCGTTTTTATTTTTGTACGTTTTTTAAGAAAAAAAAAAGAAAACGTTCTCAAAACAATGTTTCACGCAATAAAAATAAAAAAGGAAAATAAAAACGATTTTTTGATTTAGTGTAAAATGAGAAAGAAATGAAAAATGACTTCCTCTCTCGAGCAGAGAGAGAAAGAGAGACATTAATGAGTTTTTTTTACACTGTAAACAATCTCTTGATAAAACTACCAAACACATTTTCAAAAATAATTTCTATCTGAGATTAAAAACGTTTTTATTTTCATTTTCATACAAAAAATAAAATTATTTTGAAACGAGTTCTAAACGCACCCATACTACTAAAATATTTAAAAACAGACAAAATATTTAAAAAAAAAAAAAATCGGATTTTTATAAAGAACCAAAAGGGCTTAAAGCCTTAAACGGCATATTATTGTGGAGTTATTTTTTTTATTTTATTATCCTCCCCGTACATCAAATTCATTAATATCTTTGCATTGACAAACAGTTTGTTTCACTAGTTATAAGTGGGGTTACAAAAGGATAAGAAGGTACTTTTGTGGGCCGCCCCATCGCTTATGACTATTCTCAGGTAAATTATAAGAAGGGTCTAGGAACCAAACATCAAAGATCAAATATGTGCATATAAAGGGCCATAGTGTATATTTTGTCCACGGGTGGGGTGAAAATGAAAAGTTGTCTCTTTATCATCGCGTGAAACACCCAGCCATGCCAGTTGTCTGATCTAGTCTGCTTTCATACAAGCTGGTTTAAGTATGAGCTCCTTTATTCGAGGGTTTCAATTCAATGCAGGACGTTCATCCCCACCGTCCCTGTCCTCTAGTAACAAAGAGAATCACGGAGTCCAAAGAACACAAGCTAACTGTAAGTGTATTTTGGGATTGCTTTCGAAACTCCTAAAAATACTTTGCAAAATAAACGATACAACTATCGTGTTTAGTAAAGGTGTACAAAAACACTTTGTACATAAATCAATGTATTTTTTAAGTTATTTTGAGAAGTTAGAATGTATAGGTTTTAGATTCTTCTTTCTGTTTTTGCTTTTGTTTTAAGTAAAAGTAGTGCTTCTATTAAAAGCACAGCAATTCCAAGCAACCCCAAACTGGCTTTATATCTCATTGATGATCTCTGCATCAGGCTGTAATCCATCCAATTCTGACTGTGGTCTGCATATTTTTTCAACTTTCTGGGAAGAAAACATTTGGAATACATTAGACATGTTCAAATCAAAGTAACCTGGGGGGGGCCCCAAAAAAAAAAAAAAAAAAAAAAAAAAAGTAATGAGCTCGAATTCCCCCTTCTAGCTCGAGTTTTGCTTTTATAAAGGTCCATTATGCAATAAATATATATTTTCTATACTTAAATTTAATTCTGATTCTGTTACAATATTTTTTATCTTACAAATAATTTAAATTTAAAAATTTATTTTCTCATAAAGTTTACGTTAATAAATCAGAATCACTAATTTAAACGTGTGAACTAAAATAACTTATAATTTTATTATTAATGAAAGAAATTTCTACTTCTGCCAGAAGAATATGAAAAAAAAAAAAAACCTATTGATAAATCTCTATTTTTTAATTATCAAATTTATATTAAAAATTATTTATTTTATATATTTTTTATTTTAATATGATTTTAATTAGAAAAATACGCATCGCTGTACAACCAATAGGGTGGAGTAACATTAAGAACGATTTTCCTTCTTCTTTTCCCAGAACGTGTCAAAATTCGATAATTAATAGTCCCAATCAGATATCCTACTCACCCGTTGAGTTGTACGGTGTCAAATTAGGTTCGTGCGCGAAACTGAGTTTAATTAAGTTGCACCTTTTCGCTTTCCGCTGGCGGGTATCAAGTTTCTTCTATAGACAATTGAGATGGGCAGGATGCGCCAACAAAATCTTTTTCTCACGAGAGAAAATAGTAATAACAAAAGTCTCTCGTTAATACGCCTCATATGATGAAGATTGCATTTAACCTGATCTATAAATCTTATTGACCAACTCATCCAGCTCACTTCTGCCAGCGTGATTCAAGGTTTTATTTATTTATTTATTTATTTTTTTAAGGGGGTCAATAGTGAAAACCAGAAGGGGGAAAAAAAAAAAGTAAAGCAGTTGACACAGATGATTGAAGATGGGCCTCTTTGCCATCATGAACAGCATGCAATAACCCCCTCACACCCATACTCAGACCCATCCCAACCAGGGAATGTACATGTACATTGCAGAAAATCCAGGAAGGCAAAACCAGGACTGCCTTAATTTAGTACTTTGCTAAGATTTCAGCACAGACACAGGGGATACTTTTTGAGGGCACTGTTTGGGAACTTTCCAACATGACTCATCAGCTGGATTTGTTCTTGGATTTAGGGAGCATTGGAGTTGGAAGGGAAAAAATAAAAATATTTTCCCCACAAGAATGAGCCGCATGCACTATTATTTAAATGCCAAAAAAAAAAAAAAAAAAAAAAAAAAAATGAGTTCCGAAACCA